CCAAATATTCACTTTATTTAGTCTGACATTTCACCCACATATCTGAAACCATGTATAGGGAATATATAAATACTTAATGTACTCAGTGCCTTAATGGGATACAATTAATAAACTCCTAGTTCTCACTATGAGAAACTTTATATCTTTCCTATTTAACTTGCTACCTGCTTCATTAGACTCGGCGGGGAAAGATTAGGTTGATACCAAAGCCCTTAAACAGAGTTTAACACCACCATCCTCTGTACTATTGAAATGAAATTTCTCACAACACAAAAAAAGTATGTCAGTTGAATTTTGCCATGATATTTAAAAAGTGACTCACTGTTTCTTGGTTATTTCAAGTGATAATTCGTTTGTTAGGAAAAAGTACTGAGGTTTAGTTGGAAAACCATGAGACATTATTCTAGGGAAAGTTACAAACAGGATAAGGAAACCCTGGAAAATGCCGTAGGACAGGCAACCGTTCCAATACAAAGGTGGGCGGACAGTGAGGAAATATGGCAAGCAATCAGGGTAAATATTTCATACTCTTGATGTCAGCAATAAGTTCCTCACTGGTTCCTGTCCTGCAGTTCTCACAGATGTGTTCACCCAGACTCAATATTATGCTGCAAAGAATATATGGAAGAAGTGGAGAAAGAAAACAGACTTACTAAGACTGAAACCCTTCTGTCCAACTAGTAAAGGCTCAAAAGGCCTTCATAAAGTCACAGATAGTTGCCTTTTTGATGCACTAGACCAAAATAATCAATAACTGTGTTGTACTGAGCAAATGATTGATATTTCACATTATTTATCCTGGTGTAGATTCAGCATTTGTAAAAATATATGCTAGTTTGGTTCTGATCCACAGTTTGAAAGGCAATTAATTGCATTTTAGGAGGTATATATAATTAACTGACACTTAAATGTCAGAGTAAGGGTTAAATGACCTCAATTAGTTACTTAGACAACATGTTGTGAGTGTTACTAGCTAATTTTCTAACTTTAAGCTGAATTAGTTAGACAGCAAGAGGGTCAAAGCTTCAACTAGTCAATTAGGGTACATTATAAAAAGTTTCAGATCACTAGTGTACATTTTAAGAGTCAATAATAAACTTTATCCCTCTAACTAAAATTTTGGTAAATTTCACTATTTTGGTTTGTAATGATTGGCTTAGTTAAGACTGCCATGAATTTAAAATGTCTGAATATTTAGGATTATGGCTTGCCACAGTTTGCAGCAAGACAGCTGTTACGTCAAATGTATTCGGAGAAAAGTATTGGCACTTTTGAACACTAGATGGCGCCAAACTCTATGTTTTAAATTATCGCATGCCTAAGGCCCGAAAGAGGGAAATTGGATACGTTTGAATAAAGACAGCTTATATTCTTCACAGCTGCAGAGAGTATTGAATAAAATATTGTTAAATACTACAAATTTAGTTAACTACTCAGTCAGCCTTTTATAGATTTTTATTTTTTATTTTTTTGCTTTTAAGTGTGAACAATGAAGAAATAAATGAGGCCTGAAGATTTTTTTAGATAAAACAATTTTCATAAGACTAGGAAGTGGTTAGAGGGTTCATGTAAACCTCTTTAAAAACGGATGCAGGTGTGGATTATCAGGGTATTGTTTGTATTACACTGGAAGCATTGTGGGTTGTAGTTCGGCCATGACTTTTTTAGTCTGCCATGTTGCTGTGAAGAAAGTTTGCCCAAAATTACTTATTAAACATAGTTTTACTGAATTAGATTCAATTGGACTGAGGTCTAGATTTGGACTGAGTCATTTTAAGGCCTTAATTTATTTCTTTTTCATCCAATTCACTACAGATTTCCAGTTTTGACCTGTATGATTGTTTTGCTGATGACAGCTGATAGGTGCCCTCACATTCCCCCCTAAATTACTTTCATTTACAGCTGAGTTCATACCTTGGACATGTTATAAACATGGAATAAAGTATTTGTGCTCATATGTCCTTTCTGGTGGAGTGTGCTGTATGGCTGAAAATCCTCATTTTTGAGGTCTTATATTTAAAGGAAATTATTCTTGAAGTCTTGTCTCTTTCAAATGCAACATTGCAAAACAAAATTGTGAAAATCCTCTTTTAAGATCTAACAGTCTTCCTCCTGGCAACGGTCTTCATTGTTCTGCAGATTATACTGTAATAAACTTTAAACGCCTGGTTTCCTTACAGAACCCAGTGGAACCCTAAAGGGAGTTGTTTTTAATGGGAGATATTCTGATTTAGTTGAATATAGTGATGTTAATGAGAGGTCATAAGAAATTGACATTTGTCCTCAACATTGATCAATTCTGTGGAAACATTTTATCACGAAAGAATGATTGTACTGTATTTTCCAGACTAAGGAGTGCACCTCACTATAAGCTGCACTCACTGTTTAACAAAAACAAAAAACTGGAAACATACATACGTATGCCACTGATATCTACTGAACTGTCCCCCCAGGACAGTGCAGTTCAGGACTACACATCACCCCTATAGTATGGACGGAGAAAGAGACTTAGCTTGTTGGCTCGCAGCAGTAAGAGCTTCTACTGAAAGATTTTAGCTCTTTATTTCTGCTGTGCGGAAGTTGCACACAGTCTCTTCTTAGATTCCATAGCTTTAATGCAACAAATAAATGTTGAAATGTGTCAATTCGGGACATTTGTTTTCCATCATGGCTGCTTGTGCTAAATGAAAAATTAGCCCATTCTTCTTTGACTTCCAACTTTGGCTAACAGAATAACAATGCACATGATGTATAAAAAATAAACCTAACAGGCTGACAGACAGTGTCCTGCTGCAGAGCGCAGGGGGGATCACGTTCAGCTGATGCACAACATACTCATGAATTCAGGAACATTTTAGCGTGTCTTCTAGAAAACTTTATGTGTTCTTTTTGTATGTTTCATCTGTCTCCTTGAACCCCTGTCGGCCTCGGCAGATGGCTGTTCACACTGAGCCTGGTCCTGCTAGAGGTTTCTTTTTTCATGGAGTGGAGAGTGATTAGCTGTGTTTACCTACATTGTCTGCCCAAAGCCTCACTATTTTACTTTTTCAGTTTTCTGTCCTTCTGAAGTTCTGTCATTGGTAAAGTATTCATTTTTTAATGTTTTATTGATTGCTGATTAGTTTCCAGTCTGTGTTGTAGCTGGATATGCGAATAGTTGGAACTAAACTATGTTCAGGATTTTTACTTTCTGGACCTGGATTACCCAACTCTGAAAATGTGTATAGTCCCATGCATTACCATCTTCATACTTTGGATCTTATGCTAACATATGGCACTGGTTGTAAAGAAATAAGTATTTCGTCACAATCCTGTCCTGTCTTACCACTTTTTTAGTAACATTAGAACTTAATTTAACAGAGTTCTCCTTTCATTTTAGCAGATCATTATAAGATAATGCAGTAACACATTTTATATAATCTGTTCCATTTAATATAGCCTCTGTATCAAAGAAGAATATGGCAGAAACCATTTTAATTATTCAATTATGATTTGAAGCACAGTTTCAGGAAACTAGAGAGAAAATGGGATTCTACACTCCTACAGGAATCCCACTTAATCTGGAAAAGCAGTCTACTGCCGCATAAAAGGACCCTTTGTAAAGAGAGAGCAGCATATTTCTCTTCGTTAATACAGGAGAATAAGAATTATCCTAGATTTTTTTTTTATACAGTTGCCAAATTTAAACAAAGCACAAGCTCTGCTGAACCATCTATTCACACTGGTCTTAGCAGTAATGACTTTTTGGGAATCCGTCCCAAGTGAGATTGACTCTTTTAAAAACAATAATTGGCATCCCTCTAAACATGTTTTTTTTTTCTCTGGAAGATGAGTTAGCCATAGAATCAGCACTGGGTTTGATCCTTTTTGATCCCATTGAGCATTCCAGGCAAAATTGTTTTCTTCATCTAAGCCTTCCACTTGTATTTTAGATCCAGTTCTTTAAGTATTATTATGTAAGGAGGTATTCCCTCTGATTTGCCGCCTCCATTTTAGACGTGATAATCTATCCCTGTTACAGGAATTTCTACATAAGGCTTTTAAGGTGCCTGTAACTAAACATTTACTTAAGAAATGGTTCTGGAATCAAAAGACTTGAGCAGTTGTAAATCTATATGTAATCTTCCTTCCTCTTTTAAAATTATTGAGAAAATTGTTTCTAATTAAGTGTGTGACCACTTACACCAAAGGGACCTTTTCGGGAACTTTCAGTCGTGTTTTGGATCATCATAGCACCAAAACAGCACTGTTGAAAGTCACTGATGATATTCTTATGGCCTTAGATAATGGACTTGCATTCAACTGCTGTATGCTCTCTGATTTTTCTCATCAACTTGGGTTGTTGCTGTTTTGCTGTGAAACCATCCTGAAGGGAAATATCTGGGCTCCTGTCATTGACACCTTCAAGTATAGATGATAGATTTGGGTCAGTTTTTTTATTGCTTAGTCATGTTTCTCTCCTAGACATAGATATGTCAAGATATGGTGACCTAATTCAATTTCAAAACTGTGGGCAAAGTTCAAAGATAGGAATAATATCAGAAAACCAAACATTTAGAGGAATTCCACCAGCTCTGCCAGAGAGAAAAATTGAATATCTAGCAGGATTAAGCAGGAAGTTTGATGGTGGCTACAAGATCTTTGCACATTTGATTAACAGTTAACAAAACATAAGTTGAAGTTCGGATCTGTAGCTTTGATTCTGTGTATAAAATATAAACAACCTGAGAGCTGGAGAATCATTATCAGCAATCAATTCCCTATTTGACTCCAATAGTAGTTTTTTAAAATTCTTTTTAAAGATGCTAAAGTTATGTGTTGCTTTATTGTTCCACCTTGGAAAAATTTTTATATTCACAAAGCGATATAAATTTTGTGACCACAAAAGAAACAGAAGAAGACACAAATACAAAGCCTGTTAGGAAACCATGCATACACTTAACATGCTCTTAAACAATAAAGTCACAAACAAAGTACGGAACCAAACGTACATTTGCATATTTGAATTAGCATCTTTATTTGTTATCATTATATTATACTTTGTGTTTTTTACATAAAGAGACATATTCCTTGTACACATATAGATTATATGGATAATTTGCTTTTGTTTACAGAATATGTACATGTTAAATAAATCTTAGATTAACACCAAGAAAATAAAACATTTTACAAGTGCAAGAATGCTCGTTAGTAGCTAACTTTCACGGTCGATTACCCTTGTGAACCACAAAAGATGCTCATGTGCTAAACTCCTCTGATAGTTCATTTTTCTCTTTATTCTCTAAAAAAATAATGTGAAAATCATCTTGACATACTTTGGAAATCCTTACCTGTTGTTACATTCAAATGTCTCATTAGAACAGGTCATAGTGAGATATTTGGGGCAATATCCACATTCATTTTTCATTTTATTTGAAAACAGAGACTTAATTTCAGAGTTAAAGTGAGCACAATCGCAGATTAATATGGCCGTTTGATTCATTCCCCTGACCATTTTCATTTTTTCCTGCCAAGAATACCCTATTCTACTCTGCATAAAGTCTCAGAAAGAGCACAGAAAAATATGATGATTCCTGAAAGAGTGAGGAAAAAAACAACTAAATCTGAAGTGAGCTTGGTGTAAATAATGTGTGTGGGCAACAAGGGAATGGTTCCATGAAAAATGTGCTCATGAGTCACTTCTGAGGCCATAAATCTACTCTTCCGAGTTGATTCTTAAGAGAATGGGAATGGTAACACAAAGCCTTTTATGAAGGTTTTTGTTATGACTTTTTTTTTTTTGCGCACGTGCAGAGAAAAAAAAAAATAGTGTCAGTATAAATAAAAGGAATAAGTGGCGAAAATGTGGAATTTAAAGCCCTCCTTTACTTAACAGAACCATAAAAGAAATCTTTAAAGTTTTTTTGTGCTAATCAGGTGTTTGAAAATGCATGTTTTCACTCAGTGGTGCTATTAAAGGGTTCCCTGCAACATACCTAGTATCTTTCAGAACATCAACTTAAAAGTAGTGAGTTAAATGCAGATGTGCAACTTCCTTTTTGCAAAAAAAAGAAATAAAAAGTTTGTATTTACAAAAAAAGAAGCCTTTTCTTTCTTGATGTTTCTCCACAATGCATAAAATTTACCACACAACCGGTCTTAAGCTCCGCTGGGGTAACCAGCCTGAGTTCCTTACATGCATGTTTCTTCACACGTTCAGAGAATCTATATATACTATTATTTTACAGTTAACCCCTACGGCGTGGCTGTACAAAGGCTGTGCTGAGGTAAAAAGGGGGTGTTTTATGCCAGCTCTAAATGGGAAGGAGGAGAACTAGTCATCCACTTTATCTCCTGTGGGGAAGGGAGACAAAAATGGACAGACGAATGGAGGGGATTAAGGTCCATGCATGTTCTAATAATCAGACATTCTCATCGGAAAACCAGCATTAAAGAACAAAAAAAAGAGGAGTTATTTGATTCTAGTTTGAACATACAAAATATAAAAAGTATTTATAAAGTTCGGCCAAAGATACAAACACAAAAAAAAATACATGGTGCACCTACTTGACTGACTTAAGCTAAAAGTAGGAGAAAATGTCAACGTTTTTTTTCTTTTATCTGTAATTTTTTCAGTATAAAAATAAACTAAAACCAACTTAAAAATTCTGCTCATTCAAATTACATATCTCACACCTTAAACTGAAAATTAAATCAAATAACTACTTAGTTATTTATTTTCAATTATGGAGTCTGATGAGAAAATCCCTAATCAGCTAAACATGCAGGGAGCGTTTATTCTCTCAAAGACAACATGTGGTATATTGCTATAAAGTCTGTGATTTTTCCACATTCTACGTAGCTTTAAGAGATGTGTTGTGTGCGTATATATGGAACACGTCTCTATAAGTGATTAACTTTCTGTGAGGTGACTCCGACTGCAAATTTGAACACATGCACACAAAAGCACCTTTGATTAGAGAGGAAATGGTTTGATAGACACCTTGATGGTTATCGGCAATACACAGAGATTGAGCCTTGATTTTTTTTCAAGAAGTATTTGAAAAAAAAGCAAAAAAAGTTTTTTATACAACTGTTTAAATGTTGGTTATTTTCTAGCTTTGAAGTTTTTTTTTTCATGCAGCCTATACCTTGTTAATTGTACTTTAAACAGCTTGACTAGGAGATGTGAGGCTAGATTTATGATGAACAAAGCACTACACATTTACTAATCTATACCAACCATGATGCTTAAACATGGTAAGGATGTTTCCAGTGTGGTACTTCTAACATGGATTTAGTTATGTATCCTTATTGAGTCTATGTACTCATGCATTTCTTCCAAACAGAGTGATATATTGGAGGCTAGTGGCTAAACCTTAGGCTTTTAGTTTTTGCCCTTTTCTTTTTTTTTTTTTCAATGGTACATGTGAAGCATGGAAGATTCTGTACAATCAGAGCAAGGAAAATAAAAGAAGCACACAGTTAAAATGGCTTCACACTGAATAATACTGTTATTGTTAATCTACTGCTACTTTTATTGAGCCAAAATAAAAACAAAAAAAATGCTCCATGGAAATGTGTTGACAGCAATTGGCAGGACAGGATGAGGCTGAAACGTGTCATAAAGACTGAGCACAGATGGATTCGCAGGAGAAAAAAAAGGAGGAAAAGTTTGTTTGGAGAAATCTCAAACACGAGTCTCGTCTCAATACCATCGGGTTTGGAGCGAAACACTCATCCGAAGAGTCTGCCATGTCCTTGTATACAAATACATCTGCATCTGACATTCATTTCAGTCTGCTGAGCGAGCTTGTCCGTTCAAATCTGTTTGCAGTGGGCACTCAAGTCATGGCATTTTCGCTGTTCAAAGCATTGCTATTTAATCCAGTCTAGCAACGTCTTTACTCCTCTTCCTCCAGTGAAACTAATTGCATGCATAATACCGTTTATTTGGCTTGCAACCCCCATTAAAAAGAACATCCAAAAAAGTGTTTTGGGTCAAAAATATTCACAGATGTTTCTCCCCGTTTTCTCTTATTCTCATGTATGGTTCTTGTGGTGGAAAGGGTCATGAGGGTTAGGTGAGATCGACAGCAGACTATGTGGATGGTTGTTGGATGGTAGCGAGTTTGCTGAGGAGAGGACAGCTCCTCAGCAGGTCTCTCAGATCGTCACAGGGCAGTTGATCACCTTGTTCTCCAGCATGACGCTGACTACCAGGAAGACTAAGTACAGCATAAACATGATGACACCCAAAAGCTTGCTCATGCGCCACTTGCACGCAGCGATGGAGATTATAACGAAGAGGAGCATTAGGAAGAGGAGCACGATGGCGCAGAAGAGGCCGTTGGAGCTGACCTTCACTGTTGAGAAGCCACGGAACATGGACCACATTAGCCAGGGAAATGGCAATCTGCAAAGATACAAACACCAGTGTTGGGAAAGTTCTCTTTCTACGTGAACTAGTTCAAAGTTTAGTTCACACATTTTAAAATGAACTAGTTCAGTTCATAGTTCATAATTCAAAATTTTGAACTAAGTTTACAGTTCCAAAAAATGAACTAGTTCATACTTCTTTTTTTTTTTCATATATTGCTCAATTACACCATAGCCTACTGTAGAACCACAGACAGCAATTTTTTTATCAGTTGTAACACAAAAACTGTGCGTCAGATTTCATCTTCATATCCAGTTTTGAATCCTTATCCAACCAGGGTTTACATTAGCATTGAGGGGACAGCATTTCCCCATTGTTGCTTTAACGCTTTGTTGCTGTCCATTCACTTCACGATAGTAGCAGCTGCAGCTTTCACCCCTACAGTATATTCTCAAAAACATCAGGAAAAATGTGCTGCTTGAATGGTCTTTTTTATGAGGAATTATTAAAAGAAAAACAGGAAAGTAGTCTTTAAGGAGCAAATGTTTTTTTAATTTTAATATTTTTTTTCCATTTGAAATTCTATTTCAGTACATATGCCGTTTCAGATTTGCTTTGGATGTTACTGAAGTGCGGATTTTTTTACTGAAAGCCGGCGGGCAAAGTTTGCAGAGAAATGTAAGATTGTTGCCATCATCCTCACCGACCACCTGGTCATAAAACTGTTTTAAGTGATCATACTGCTGCTTTGTCACATCCACGGTCGCCTCCATGCTGCTGTGGCTTCCACGCTGCATTTTGTTTTGATGACGCACGCGGCTGTAGGCTACGACACCGGTAGCTGGTGTTGCCAGATTGGGTGTTTTTCCCGCTACATATTAAGGCCTGTTTACGGTGTGATTTAGCCAGGGTTTCACCTGGAGGGCTCTATAGAAATCTGGCAACCTATTGAACTGAGTTGAACTGAGAGAGCGTGCCATTCACAGACACCAGAATGAACGAGTTCACAATAACGTTCATCAGGCAGTAATACAGTACGTTCAGTTCACGTTCGCCCAAAATATGAACGAGTTCATGAACTTTCGTTCAATGAACGCGTTCAGGCACAACACTGACAAACACGTTATAAATGTCAAGTCAAATGCCAATACAACTGGATGGAGTAACTAATCCGTGGTGTCTTAAAGCAGAACTCATACTTCTTAAACCTAGCTACATTTTGACTTTTCGCAATCACATGCATTACTGCGTTTAAGACCTTGCATCTGTGACCTTGAAGAAGCAGAACAATTACTCATTGTTTAAAACATCTTTTTCAAATGAAAATCTGAAGGGTTAAGAGTACATTCATATTAAGGCTCCATTCGAGTGAAAACCAAGCAAATCTGTCAGGCTTCTCCTAGACAAATTCTTATTGCAATAGATGTGTGTGAAAAAACAAAAACAAATAAAAATCCAGCGCAACAAACTTAAAGATCATCAGAGCAAAGAATATGCTCTGGTCAGATGAGACAAACGTACTTTTTGGTCTTTTTTCTAGCTAAAATTAAAGACACATTGCCTTGAACACCCACTCCCTTAAATTGGTGATGGCAGCATTATGCTGTGGGAGTGTTTTGCTTCTATAGACAGTACAGGCAGAGAGATACGTAAATGGCAAAATCTCACAAAAGTATATGTGTGACAGAGGTTCATATTTCAGCAGGAGTAGACTGTATATATAAAGGAATATCCAGAAGTGAAAGGTTTTAGGTCAAGGCATATGTTCTGTGTGCCTGGATAGTCCAGTGAAAGCCCAACCCTCAGCTCAACTGAGAAACAGTGGCAAAACTATAAAAGCTGATGTTCGATGATGTTCTCCATTCAACCAGTCCGCCAAAATAATGAGCTAATCTGACAGTTTCTAGATATATAGAATGGATAAAACTGCAACCATGGTAGGAAAAGATGCGTATACAGAGCAGATTAGAGGTTCTAATTTCAAATATTCCCTAAGATCACATCTATTTTTCTAAGGGTTTAATAATAAATACTCATCATTCTTCTGACCTTTACTTTTTTCTAATTTTATTTTTTTAACACATCTTTTGTTAGAATATCAAACATACGTTAATCTGTAGTATTAAAATAAAAAAAATAAAAAACTCTTTCCTAACTAGAAATTGTAACTTTTGTTCTCTAATATATTGCTATTGTGCAACAACATTTACATTATTTCAGATGATTTATATGAATATTTGCAACAGATCATAATCTGATCTCCGTGGACAAAAATATTAGTATTGACCTTATTAAACATCTTGTTTGCCCCTGGTGAGTAAAACACCTTATATAATATTACCTTTTAAAGTCAAACAAAGAGCTATCTGGGATTTTTTCTTCCTCCCATAGTATGGCAAGTATAAACCTTGTGTATTCATCTAAATTTATTTACTCTTTATGTAACCACACCACAACAACAAATGCCCCAACTTATTTTACAGCAAAGGCTACAATTTTTGTAAAAGCTCTGCCATAAAAATAAATATATTTATCCAATTTCATATATTTAGCATCACCAGAAATTCAAATACATGCGCAGGCTGTAGCATGACCTGACATGTGACATCATTCAACTTTTTATCTCTTCTCGGAACAACTTTAGGAGCTTAAATTGTTTTCAATCCAAAGGCACTTAAAGTAAAAAAAAAAGAATAAAGTCTTAGAGGGGACAAACAACAAACATTGAGCTAAGGCTTAAAAAAGCTCTGATGTTACGTACCCGACAGTAATGTCAAAGATGTTGGAGCCCACAGAGCTGGACACTGCCATATCACCCAGCCCCTTACGTGCAACAATAACACTGGTGATGAGGTCAGGGATAGAAGTTCCAGCTGCTAATATGGTCAGACCCATAATCTCCTCTGTAATCCCGATGGTGTCACCAACCTGCAAAAAAAAATAAAAGAAGCTTTAGGGTAAATAAAACCTCATCTTTTGTTTCAGCTTTTTCAAATGTCCCTGTGGCACTTTGGAGCTGATGGGAGTGACAAAACTCTAACAGTCCGTTATGTTTTGAAGGATGCAGCTGTAATAGTGCTTTGATCAGACTGGACAAAATTTTGATTTCAGAAATGGGGGGACGCGACTATTTTTAAATATAACTAACTTCAGTGCATTTGAGCATCCAATCACAGACCAGATTCAATGGCGCGCCAGATGTTTGTAAAGTGAGTTTCTCAGGAGTGACAGCGGTGACAGCCATTCACACAAGAAAGGACAGAGGGTCCAATCAGGAGCTTGTGGGCGGTCTGAACTCAGAGTGAACCCCTAGTAAGAGGACAGCAAAAAGTTGTCCCCTTAGTAGTTTAAGGTTTACTTTAAAGTTTGTGGTACCTGGTGAGCCCACCACACCATCAGATAGGAGAACCCTGCAATCCAGCAGATGGCCCCCAAGAATGTAACAGGGAAGAAC